TTTACAACCACATCACTAATTAAAAAATAGGGACATTATTTTATTTTGAAAAATAAATATGCAAAATTTGTCGTATTCTGTTTTGGCATTTCCATATCTATAGTTACCGGTACAGTGGTTGTTATGGCGCAAATCTTCAACAGCAAAACAAACAACGAAGTGACAGTTTTAAATTTCTCGTTCGCTTTTTCGAATTTATATAACATAGAAAGCCAGAATGTTGTCGGAAAGTTCTGATAATGAAGACTACTTTAATATAATTTTAATAACCAGAACTGCAAAAAGAGCAGAAGCGAGTTTAATTCTAGAGAAAAAATAGGAAGCGATATGAACTAGCATTGAAAGTATACGATAAATGGTATGCCGAAAGAAATGCTAAAAATATTGCTTCGAAGACAGTCTTGATGGTATATTTTAGCGATATGGCAAGGCAGAAAAAGCCATCTGCTCTTTGGGCTACGTACAGCATGATACGGACAATGCTAGAATTAAGGGAAAAGACTGACATATCAAAATATCACAAACATTTTTACCAGGCAAAACTTGGAGGATTTTTTCACGAAAGCACCTCAAGAATTCCTTCATAAAGTATGGATTTTTTTAAACGTTTATAACTATTTCTTTTAATTGTTTTAGGTGGCGCTTATAGTAGGTGTGTCTAGGGTATGTCAGAGTGATGAGCTACTGAAGATGAAAACTACGCATATTGATATTTTAGGAAAGAAAATTTGAATAGAAATTGCCGATACAAAAAAAAACTTATAAGAGCAGATCATTTATGATAACTAACGCAAGTTGGATAGAAATTGTGAAGGAATTTATTATCGTAACGCTGTTACGAAAAGATATTGAAAATGAGAGATTTTTTGTTCAATATCGATTAGGAAACGCTCGAAATCACCCCTTTGGATACAACTCTATATCTAAATTTCCGTACAAGGATACAATTCTACATATAAATTTCCGTACAAGATTGCTAGCTTTTTGAAACTTCCCAATGCAAAAAACTATACAGGTCATGCTTTTAGACGAACAGTGGCTACGTTGCTGGTAAATAGCGGAGCTGATATTTTACAGCTGAAGCGTCTAGGGGGATGGAAATTCATTGCTGTAGCTGAGAGTTATGTGGATGCATCTGTACCCAACCAAACTGAAATCGCAAATATGATATCTTCAACGACAACGTTGCCATCGCCTTCCTGTAGCAATTCAAACTCTTTACCTTCTTTTGTTGACATTAGAAGACCTGGCACAAGTCAGGAGTTAAGTTTTTGCAGCAGTGAAACCTCAATGAGTGAAACACATTATCAGGGCGGCCCCTTAACAATATCGATTAACGCGTACAATAAGTCAAATTTGACCATTAATTTCAACAAAAATAAATGTATTAAAATCTTCAATTATTGTTGTTAATCTATTTGTTTATTTTTGTTGATGTTAGATAAGTATTTAATAAAGATATTATAAGAATATTTTCCTTAATTAAATGAGGCGAGAGATAAGAAAAACCGAGTGAGGGAAGTGGAAGAGGGAAGAAATGTAGATAATTTGACACTTTCAAATTTTTTAAATGTCAGTAATATCAGTATTACCTATGTCAGTATTATGAGGTTGTAAATAAAAAATTAAAATTAGAAGAAAGCATTCGACCAATGTGTTCTACCAATGTCATATGCATGTGAAACCTGGACACTTAAAACGGACATTTTGTCGATTGAACAAAATATGTTGGGAATAATCAAGAAAGACCGTAAAAAATATAATGGATATGACAAAACACCCAATATGAAATAACCATTACAAAAGAGTTTAATTTTTTACTTTATGAACTTATGAAACTTATTTACTTATTCGTAATACATAGATTAAGTTCCTCTTCATATTACCATCACTTTTCATTTAAGAGCATCAAAATTTAACGTTTTAAAACCGCTTAAAATTTTATAACTGTACTTCGAGTTCTGGGAGTCAGAACTGAATTTTATATACCTACATATTATACTCTAAATTGAACTCTATATCACATAAATTTCAATTCATTTTCTGTTGATGCTGCAATAAAATTTGGAATGAGGTCAGAGTAACTAATTCGGAAGTTCACTTCGAGAGTATAATAAGGTTTAAGTCCTCAAAATCCTTTATTAATTTGGATCCCTATTTTAATGGAAGATTGTGAAGCGAACAAAAAAGTAAAGTTTAATTAAAGAACCTTTCATTCAAAATCCTTAATTTTGAGTGAATATGTAGCAAAAATTACTTTTTATCTTTTTCTGGTATTATAATTATGATAAAACACGAAAAATGTAAAAAATTTTTTAGTTTCAATAAACTGAAAATTTTCAGGAAAATGAAGATATATATTTCTGTGGAATTTACGATACTTTAAGGTTAATTTTTAAAACAATATGAAAATACTTACGTATTCTAATATTTTGCTTGTTTTATTCGTACCATATAACAATTATTGTAAAATTAAATTATTTTATTTAATTATATTATTATAATTAAATAAAATAATTTAATTCACATTATTATATAATTTTTCTAAGTAAATGAGATTAAATTACAAAAAATGTCTCATAGCCATTAATATTATGAACAGCATCAGCATTTTATTTTGTTTTTTTTGTTAATAGTCTTTATCGCTTAATTTTTTATTTTTTAAACTAGTTTATTCAAAAACATAATTTATTATTTTAAAGGACTTTTAATCCTATTACACAAAATTAACATACGCTGTAAAATGTCATATTTATGGATATAGTGGACAGTTATAGAATTCCACCGTAGGTAACTTAACAGGAAATATAACTGTTAAGTACCAGATGAACCAGCTCTACCTGTTTGATGGTAAATTTAAAAAATTAAAATGTACAGGGTGTCCCACTAAGAATAGCTCTCGACTATATTTCGGAAAGTATTAGCTGTAGGGTCTGCGGAAAAAAAAATTATAACTAAAGAGGCTATGAGAAATTGTTGGAAATTATTTTCAAGTTAGTGATATAAATGACTGTTATAAAAATAAGATAATTAAGGGCTTATTTTTCGTATTTATTATAATGTTGCTAATATCTTCGGTTTGAAAGAGGGTATCAAGATGCGGTTTTTGCTGAGTTTTTAAGCTTTTATTGCTTTTTATCTCAGCTGAAAGTAGATATATTATCGCATTTAATTTTTTTGAAAAAAATGCGCAATGTTTGTTAAATTGTAAAGCAGCGCCCCTTAGCGTCTACGTTCAAAAGCTTATTATTATTGTTTATATGATATAATATAGAGTAAGGAATGCTCTTTTAACAGAGCTCTCGTTTGTTGGATTCCGATTATCCAGTCCGGAGTTACTCACATTTAAATAATAACAAATCTAACCTTGCCCCACCACTTTATTTTAGCAGAAAGGGGAAAATGGTTCTAACAAAAATATTCAAAATTTACTGAAAATTATGAAGCCCCCTGAAGCCTACTGAAGATTTATAGTACCCCTTATCTAGGCAAAATGCGCAGAATGTTTTAAAACTGTTTCCTCAAAGTTTAATTCCGCATTGACATTTCAGGAAACGGCTAGTGGCCACCATATTGGAAACACATGTAATAAAGCCATATAATGGTTTCCATTTTCAAGAAACCAGGCGATTAATAAAAACATTATCTAAAATGTGTCCAAAAAAAAAACGAAAAAAAAAAAAAAAAATAGATAAAATTTGATGAGGTTTATCTCACTTTAATCTTACGTTTTGCTGATATTTACGATTTTTCTCAAAATGCAGTAACAATTTTAAGAAAATAACAGTGTTTTATTAAAAATACTGTTGTTTGGTGCTGTTGTAACACTAAAGGTTCCATCCCCCAACTGTAATCAAACTCATGTGTTATGGTGAATTCTGATGAATTAGTGGTTTATTTTCCTGTACTATTTAAGTTAAAGAAGTTATTGCTCTTTTTAAAGTTAGTATTTACTTAAAATTCATTTTTTTATACCCATTATTAACATAAGGTATTATATTATACTATTGCAACTCAATATTTGGTAAGTAGAAAAACTTTGCTGTACATTTAGTTTGAAAAACTTGAATGGGCTTAAAGAAATGACGTAATACAATTATTTTTACCCCTTTTTTTGTTAAATTACTTAATTGTTAAAATATTTCAAAAACAGTAAGATTTAAGTGACCTTAAACTTAGTGTCGAATACCGTGAATAATTTGTTTGTCTGTCTTAATATTTACCTTGCATTCATCCAGTAATATATTAGAGGATTGACCATGGCATTTGACATCGCGAACCAGTAGAAACTTAGATACACATGTTGCGTGTATTTGCTGTAAATAACTTTTGTGTCGTAGTAGATGTAGATGAAGTAGCTGTGGTAGGGTAGCCAACACAAACCGAAGATCAACACCACTAATATGAACATCTTTACAACCTGTAACAAAAAGAAATACAGAGTGACTTGTTTCTTTTAAAAAATTATTTTTTCAAGTTTCATGAATAAGTTCAGATTTTCATGTTACAATACCTAATATAAATAATTTTTATATTTTTTAATGCGTTATAAAAATGCATTCGTTACGTATACCCCTTTAAAGAAATTGTTTCACTTTCTATGCATCGGTGAGGGAGGATTTTATACTTTTCAACAGATTTTATTCTTTATTGTTTATAATTTTGTAACAATAATAATTTATATCTTAGAAAAGTATCACCCATTTTTACCTTACGAATAGCAACAAAATTGCGGACCTATTAAATCATTAAGTATAAAAGAAAACATTTCCTTATACAGGGTATCCCAGGCTATAATCAAAAAGTAACAGGTGAAAAATCTTTTCTCTAGTGAAATAAAGACGTAGCTCTATTTGGAAAAAATATGATAATGTTTAATTTTAATAAAATTTCTTTGTTAAATATTTTATTTAAAATATATATTATTGTGAAGAATTTGAGGTGTAATATGTTGTGATTTTTATAAGTTATATTAACACTGTCAAATTTTTCTTAAATATCTTTATAAAAGATCTTTGACAAAGAAATTGTATAGTGTAGCGCCTAAAAAGGTTAATGTTAAGCATAGAGTGTTTTAACATCAAATTCATTAAATTTTACCGAGAATTTAAAAATGTAATAAAAATGGGATTACCTATTTAAAATATGAAAATTGCTGTCAAATTCCATTATTTCAATAAAGTGTCGTATATATTGAAAATATTAAGCGTTAGTTTTCATTATTGAAACAATGAGGTAAATAATCTACGATATTGATATTGTACTTGTTCAGAAACTTCTATTCAGCCTGGCCACCCTGTATAAAATATACAATCATTTTACCAATATGTTGACCAGGATTAACGATTAATTTAATCTAGATGACGTATCGTATAAATCTTGGCCGAAACATTTTTATGTCGTATAATAATAGCGTTATGGAATAAGACATTAGCTGCCGTTCTGTCTTGTTTCGACTGCCACTGGTTCCAATCTCGATGAAACGAACTTGTCTTGTTAATTTAATTTTACATATAATTTTTTCATTATTTCAATTTAAAAAAAAGGTGGATATATCTTGACTTAAACCACACTAAAATCCAATAATTAGTTTTCAGCTATGACAAAAAAAGAAACAAAAGATTTTTGGATCATTAATTTTTTATCTTTAGATATCAATAGTAGATTTGGTACTAATTTTCTAAAACTTGTTCTATCTACATACCTTTCGACATAATTCCTTTATTACATACATTGATTAACATGTCATCATCGTAATATCCCCGATAAGAGACACTAGTTGTGTTGTTTGTATTGACTAAGTACTCCACTGCGGCCGCGAGGGCCTATTGTGGGACACTAGTTGTGTAGACAAATATATTATTTATAGATAGCTAGCTGACCCGGCAAACGTTGTTTTGCCATATAAAATTTTTTTATGGAACAACGGTCATTTTTATTCACGAGGTTGAAAATTATTGAATTACCAATATCGCTATTAAAAAATATGGGTTGATGGTAGAAGGGTGAAGATTTAGGGTGTAGTATGGGTATTTTTTAATGCCACATCATAAAAAAATTATAATATTTTTTTTATCTAAAACAAAGAAAATTGGGGTGGACCACCCTTATCACTTAGGGGTAGATAACAACCTATTCTCAGACTTACTGAATATACATATAAAATTTCATCAAAACCCGACAAACCGTTTCGGAGGAATATGGTAACCAAAACTGTCACACCGAGAATTTTATATATTAGATAATATACGAATATACGTTAAAGTAATGCTATTTTCAAGTATTAACGTATCAACTCTTAAGATGAAAGACCACGTCCAGCAAACATATATTAAACGTATAGTGTGGCAAGAATCCAATCCTGTATAGTGTAACCGGATAAATGGATTAATGAATGAGAACCTATGAAATTACGTGAATATATTCCTTTAGAAAATGAGTTAATTTATTCCAATTCTTTACAGAGAGACAGAATATTGGTTAAGTATTTTTTTACGTCAGTAAAAGTGTTATTGTTAACGCCTTTAAGTTCTAAAATGACGCCATTGTTATTAATTCTTAACACTGATAAGAAAAACAAAGTAAAAAAACAAGAAAACACATTGACCCAATTAAGCAGGTGCGATGTTATGGTGCGTTTAGACTTGAGCACGCACGCACTGATCCTCCGTGAATGCTCAAGTGTAAACGGCTGTGCGCGCACGCTCACTCTGAATCTGTCTGTGCGCGAGCAGCCGCGAACGTGAGCCGTCTGGTGCCGGTGTTTTGGTCCGTGCTCAAGGGATTTTATGTGTGCGCGAACGCTCAGTTTGCACTGGCAATTTGTTTTTTCTGCGTTTGTGTGTGCGTGTGTATTTTTTTTGCGTTTTCTTTATTAAAATTATGGAGTGGATCAATGAATCTTCGTAATTATTAACTGAAGAATATGAAAAGTTGCCTATATTATGGGATGTTAAACATTCTTTGTATTATTAGAAAATCAAAAAAAAACACATGGCAAGATCTTGTAAATAAAATTAATATTGAATATGTCGATAGTAATGAAATTGCTATTCTAAAATTTGTATCTTTTGTTCGTAATTTTTGGTATTATTAAATTTTGTAAATATTCAAAGTCGGGTCTGGTCATTCTTGTAAAGTTTTTGAACTCATCATAGCCCTCCTCAGACACTACGTTGTTGCAGTAAATTATATCGATTTCTAACAATTTGGGTTTGCCACCAGTGACGATGTTTTCGATTTTTCTCCTTTTTAATAATTAAGCTGTGCATAACAACGACTGGAGCCTCAACTATTTCTTAGTCGTCCATTATTTTCGCCAACACAACTCTGCTGTGCGCGCACAAATGGATCACTTCATTCATCGAAAAATAAGTTTTTAATTTGAACGGAGCCGAACGAGCGCACGCTCAACTCGTGCGTGCTCAAGTCTAAACGCACCATTGCATTAGGTTAATTTAAGTTTAGTTAATTTATGTTAGGTTAATTTTAATTTCCAAAAATGTAATAATATTTAGGGTATTCGGTTTGAAATATCAAAGTTGCTATTGGTTTTCAATTAAAGCGGCAACATGTAAAAATTTAAATTTAAAAAAATCACCGGTTCTCCATAAACTCTTCACCATGAAAAACCATCACCGTGAATAACTCTAAATCACGCTGGCAACTCTTACTTTTGGGTCGATATTTACATGTTTGGAAATGAATCGCTTAGGGATCTTATTAAGTCGGAGTGAGAAAAATGCGACGGTCTGTTGTTGCGGCGTTGCTACATTTCTCAGAGATACAAGTACGCCTTTCCCTGTAGTGGAATAAAATCACTATCAAAAAGCGCTTCTTTTAAGTCTTTTTTTTTTCGGAAAGATAACTACATGACATCTTTAGATATGTTTCTGGACATCTGAAATCGAGCTATAAGAATATCGTTAGGGTGGCAATTTTTTATAATGAAGAAACATCAGGAATCGCGGTACTGCCCACTTTTACATATTTTCTTTTAATCAAAATATTTTAGGAAACAAAAATATAAATTATATATATAGAAACAGTTATTATTTACATCAACAAAACTCACTTCCTTATCAACACTTGATGGACATAAAGGGTCATTACCGCTTCCCGTTCAAAATATTCTAATAAATTTGCAATGAGTTATTTATGGCTATTAAGCTATCTTGTACACTTCGCACTAAAAAGGGTTCTAAAAAGAACAATGTTCGGCTGCAAGGTCTGCTAGTAAAGAAATTTGAGCTTAGAATATTTTACCAAATATTTAAACCAAAAACTAGTAATACAAAACTAAAGTGTTAAAACGAATGACAGTGTCAGGAAATAAATAAATAAATGTGGAAACTTGACAATTTTTTACAGCAGAGCTACCACCTGAATACCCAGCGGGAAATTTAAATTCCAGTTTGTCGCCCGGCGCCGAATATGTCCATGGTTGGCAACAATGAATTTAAAAATGGCGCCCTCGATTACGTACTAAAAGTTTAATTTTGCTGGGTATGATGAGAAAAAGAATATAGACAATAAATTGTATGAAACACGTCACACAGATTTTGTCTTGATAATAATATGTGCGCTGTAGTTTAAAGAAAAACATTGCAACTGAATTGAGAATTATAAAAATGTGGATGTTAATAAAGTAACGGTAATATTAAATATTAAATGAACTTAGTTTAAAACTATGGAAAATATATGAGCGTTTATCTGAAATTGCGTGGCTTTGAAAGTTCTCTTACAACTACGATTTTACTAAACCTCACGTTTCTAACTAAACTCTCTTTTTTATTATTCTGATCGTCGTCGTTTTACAAACGACACAGTAAATTTCACTGAACCTTCTTTTAATCGATAATTTAGAATTCCGCCGTTTGCGGAATCGTAAAAGAACAAAAGCAGCAAATGTCCTGAACGTCTGTTTACTTTCTATAAATCGTTGGTTATTTGGTACCTTACTTTTATACCGATTTTGTAAAAGAAATGGAACAGACTGAAAATTAGCCGTTGTTTATAGGTGGGATTTAAAAATGAACTCTCTATGATATCTGACAAAACTGACCGTGACTCAAGTGTACCTAGTAGAAAAAAAATAGAAGTAGTAGTGTCAAAAATATTTTGAACCTCTCTTAATATAACAAATTAATACATTTAATTTTTTTCATTTTTGGGTAGTTTATAGCTGGTTTATAGTAACCAGATAGAAACTTAAATAATATAGCTATTTTACTTTTGTTTTAGGATAAAAACTGGACTTGAAAATGGTTTAGGGTCATGATTCTCGTAGTCTTCTTTGCTTGGATATTCACTTTGTTATTGCAAATAGGCAGTTGACAAAAACTGATGGTTAAAAAATATAGGTACTTATTTAAACTTATTTAACAATGTGATTTAATAATCTTAAAATAAACTCATTTA